GTAAAGCCCTGAAAGAAATTGATAGAAAGAAATCCCCTGGCCCTGATGATTTAGACCCCCACCTCCTACCCCTAGCTGCATACATCATTGCTCCCCCTTAACATGTATTTTTAACCTCACGCTTGACGTTAAGGAAAGGCCAAAGTTATGGAAATCTGCTTTTGTACTGCCTCTCCTGAAAGGTGAAGATCCTTCGCTACTTGACAACTATCGACCCATATCAAAATTGTCTGTACTGTCTAAGGTACTGGAGTCCTTAGTTAGTAGGCAGCTGAAGGCCTACCTCCAAGAAAACAACATCTTAAATGGAATGCAATCAGGTTTTAGATCTGGCCACAGCACTCTTTCAGCAACATTTAAGGTTTTAAATTACATCCACAGAGCTCTTGACAAGAAGTGTATTGATTTGTCGAAGGCGTTTGACACCGTGGACCATGCTGTGTTGGTGCAAAGGTTAAAATGTTGTGGAATTACTGGTCATGCTCTAGATTGGTTTATAAATTACCTATCAAATCGTATATACAATGTGTAATGGCGGATGGTTGTAAATCTGAGTGAATAGAGTTGTGCTCAGGTGTTCCGCAAGGTTCTATTTTGGGCCCACTGTTGTTCATTTTGTATATCAACAACATTGGGGATCATATTGAAACAGCGGATGTTCATTTTTATGCAGATGATACTGTTCTTTATTCAAGTGGTAGTGGTTTATCTTTAGCTTTTGAAAATACCCAAAGAGCATTTTACACCATACAACAGAATCTGTATGATTTGAAGCTGGTTCTGAATTTGGGTAAAATAAAATGCATGGTATTTTCAAATGCCAGGCATGTTAATGATAATGTCATTGCTACATTGGATGGACATAATATAGAGTAAGTCAATGTGTACAAATATTTGGGAGTGTGGGTGGATAACAAGCTGAGCTTCACTGTTCATGTGGAGAACTTGTAAGGAAGCTCAAACTGAGAATAGGTTTTTATTACCGGCATAAGGCTTGTTTTCTCTGGAGGCCAGGAAGGAGCTGGTAAGACATAAATTACTGGCGGTTTTAGATTTCAGTGATGTTATATATATGCAGGCCTCAACCACTACCCTGAGAGCACTTGATTCAGTATATCATGCGGCCCTCATATTAATTAACAATCAAAAACGTCTAACACATCATGGTGATCTCTACAGCGCGGTTGGCTGGTCGTCATTGACCTTGCGTAGGCTTAAACACTGGTATACACTGGTTTATGAGGCCATACTGGGTAAAATGATACTTTATCTCATTTCTTTTTTAATCAGGTCAATAAATAAATATCAGTCACGGTCCCGTTCTCATTTGCTTTTAACAGTACCAAGAATTAGAACAGGGCATGGTAGAAATAGTTTTAGTTACTCAGGTCCATGGTCCTGGAATTCTCTCCTGAACATTTTCAAATGTAATGATCTAGTCACATTGGTGGAGTTTAAACACTTGATTGATGTAAATATCATAGAAGAGTGTAATTGTCTTTAGGGCAGCTGTTTTCTAGTTATGACATTCGTGTTTCTTTACGTAATATGTAATTGTTGTACTGTATTTTACATTTTACATTTTAGTCATTTAGCAGACGCTCTTATCCAGAGCGACTTACAGTTAGTGTGTCTATAGTTTTTTTTCAATGTTGTGTTTGTGTATGTAAGTCATTTTGTCTGAAACTTTGTTCCCCCTGCTGCTGTTGGACCAGGTCTCTCTTGAAAAATTGATTTTATCTCAATGAGAAAAACCTGTATAAATAAAGGCAAAACAAAAAAAAATTTGAAGAACAAAATTAAAACCCTCATAAACTTTTACAGATGCACAATTGAGAGCATCCTGTCATGCTGTATCACTGCCTGGTAGGGCAACTGCAACGCCCGCAACCACAGGGCTCTCCAGAGGGTGGTGCGGTCTGCCGAACGCATTACCGGGGGCAAACTACCCGCCCCCCAGGACACCTACAGCACCCGATGTCACAGGAAGGTCAAAAAGATCATCAATGACATCAACCACCCGAGCCACTGCCTGTTCATCCCGCTATCATATAGAAGGCAAGGTCAGTACAGGTGCATCAAAGATGGGACCGAGAGACTGAAAAACAGCTTCTATCTCTAGGCCATCAGACTGTTAAACAGCCATCATTAGCACATTAGAGGCTGCTGCCTATAGACATAGACTAGAAATCACTGGCCACTTTAAGAAATGGAATACTAGTCACTTTAATAATGTTTACATATCTTGCATTACTCATCTCATATGTTTATACTGTATTCTATACTATTCTACAGTATCTTAGTCCATACTGCTCTGTCAATGCTCGTCCATATATGTATATATTCTTAATTCCATTCCTTACTTAGATTTGTGTGTATTGGGTATATGTTGTGAAATTGTTAGATTTTCATTTTCATTTACGTCATTTAGCAGACGCTCTTATCCAGAGCGACTTACAAATAGATATTACTTGTTAGATGTTACTGCACTGTTGGAGCTAGAAGCACAAGCCTTTCGCTACACCCGCAATAACATCTGCTAAACACGTATGTATGTGACAAATACCATTTGATTTGATGAACAATAAGAATACTTGCAGATGTTTTAAAAGAGGGGTTGGCAACAACCGGCCCATAAGTTATTTTTTTGTCCAACCAAAGTACATTTAATTTATTTTTGGGTTAAAAAAGATCACCAGGAATTCAGTAAAATAATAAATACAAAAATATAGAAAATCTGTATTCCCACAAGTATTCCCACAAAAAAAAAGAGACGTGATCGTGTCTCAATGTAAGCAAGGTATGAAATGATTGTTATTTTCCAATATCATAAAAAAAACGTTTGGCTTAGTTGTGGTGAATTTGCAGTGTACAAATTATTATAATTATGTTCTGGCCCCCCGACCCCATCCGCTCCGACAAAAATCCGCCTGTGGTTGAATGTTGTTGCCTACCCCTGCTTTAAAATGTTATAAATACACATAATTGGTATCACTTTTTAAATCCTTTAATGGCATGGGTGAGGTGATTCGTAGCTAGTGAGAGACACATATCAATATGATATGGGGATACAGCATAATATCTAGGCTACTACTACTGCGATATTATATGCCTAGGGTTCATTGCCAAACCTCTATGTTTTGAAAATGACCGAAGTGGGAGTGGCTTATTATGATTTTTGGATTTGTTTACCTTCTGAGTTTGTTGATGCACTGATCATTGTCTACAACTGATTAGTGAGGTGAGTTCACCCAACAATACATGTATCTATAACAACTATATTGCTGACTATTCAAATACATTCTGTAGAGTATTAGCCACGATGTACCCACATAGGTAGAACGTTCATAATTTGTGTGCGGAAATGGTTAGGAGGTTGTAGAGAGGTCAGAGGGTAAAGGTTATTCACCCAGGACTCTCGATTGTAGAATACACAGCCATCTTGGATATACGAGCAGAAGGGAAATTAATGCGGTGAGTTTTTTTTCTTCTCCCCCCCCCCGCCCCCACCCCACCCCACCCCCCAATATAAAACCATTTGGTCCGACTCAAATCGTTGCATGACAACACATTCATCTTTGTAGTCCTTGCCGTTCGGTTCGGTATGTTTTGGACTGGTTCGCGAATTTCAATTCGAACTGTCTTCTACGCTCTGTTTTTGTCTGTGGCTGCTAGCGTGAATTGAGACCGAGAGGTAGCTAACGTTACTGGGATTGGGAAGTGGATAGGAGGCAAAGTAGGCCCAACCTGCACATCACTACCTATGGGCAAACAGACTGCCTGACAAGGGTTGTCACAGCTAGTTGTTGAAGCAAACTTATTATAATCAGACTCACGCTGTATTGTTAGCTAGTTAGCTAACTTTAGCTAGCTAGGATATAAACAATAACAATCATCTAACGTTACTAGCTAGTTAATAGCTATAACGTTAGCTAGCTCGCTTGTCTGAGTCCTGTAACCCAAATGCATTACTTAAAATCCATTGCATTACACCGGCACACCAAGCCACCTTGCCGGACCCCTTCGGTTCTCGAGAGCTATCTATCTCTCCTGTAACCGGTCCATATTATTTGCATCCCTCTATTTTGTTCGCTTTACTTGATAGGTAGCTAGCTATTTAGATATTTATGTTGTCTTGATTAGCTACCTAACTTTGTTAGCCACAACATGCTAAAGCCAAGGATAAACAAACAATGTATCCAGTCACGCAACTTGGCCACGCGAGAGTGGGTGGCTGTTTAGCTAGTTAGCTAACTACACTGCAAAATATAATGTGGCATGTTCATGTTGATACCCTTCCCCCTCAGGCTCCACTACTACACTGGCAGCAAGCATCTAGCTAGCACAACAAGCATCTTCCTAGTTTTGTAATGCACTTATTTAAATAGTTGAACACCAGTGTCAGAGACGACCTCATTCAATGTGAAAATAATAAATGTGTGTAGGGCCATTTTAAATATGAATAGATATGGCTCCATGTTCACAAGGTGAGAAAGTGTCAGAGAGGGTTCTTGGATTGAAGGAAAATTTGGTGTGGAGAATAACTGGAATTGGTTGTGAATTTAGTGGCACCTGAGCAGAAGCTTGTTGAATTGTGCTGAGGCAATGCTGCAGGGATGCACACAGTTTTTGTATGTTGACCAATGCAATTAAACAGTGGAAAATCATCACTTTAAAAGTGATTGTAATTGTTTTGCTGTAAGGCACACTGTATGCGCACATTGCGCAAGGTGTGTGGGCGTGTAGTTGTCTGGTGGTGAGATGTGAGGTTGGACTAGTTGAAACTGAAAGTGTAGTAGACCATTGTCATAGGACTAACGGTAGGCTACTGCATAACTGTTGTGTTTCACTCCTGTCCTGTCCATGATAGTTTAAAAAAATATGAAATGAACAATGTTTTGTCAATTAATGGATGCAGGCATGCTGGTTGACAAAGACTCTTTCTATGGACTTTTCGGAGTTGAAATACTAAAACCTGTTCCTTTATCTCACTTCTGCAGGTGACAAACGGAATGTTCAGTGCTACGAGAAAGAAGTTTGTAGAGGGGGTCGAAAGCGACTACCCTGATGAGGGCATGTACTACAGCCAGCCGTCGATGTTCTCACATAGGTCGGACAAAGACTTAAGCGCTCTTTCTGCTCGATCACACGTCCCTAGTACAGCTCCCTTTGAACTTGAAGTGAGTACATAACATTTTCACACGTTTCTTCTATTATTTAAATCTGTTGATGCGTATTTGTCATATTTAGTGAGATTTAGGCTAATCCATTATCCTACACTCCCCTCCGTATTTATTTGGATTTAGAAGCTAAAACTTTTAATTTGGCTCTATACTCCAGCATTTTGGATTTGAGATTAAATGTTTCATATGAGGCGACAGTACAGATGTCACCTTTGATTTGAGAATATTTTCATACATATCTGTTTTACCGTTTAGTAGGGCTGGGAATTGCCAGGGACCTTACGATATGATATTATCACGATAATTTGGTGCCGGTTACGATATGTGTTACGATTCTATATGTATTGCGATTCGTTACTGTGATTTTATTGCGATTTGATGTTCCAAACATATTGCTCACCATACTGTATGTCTGCTGCAGATGGATAAAAGAGCCATGAGAAAACGAGTTTTGATCAGTCATGGAAATAAAAGTGCTGAAAACAAATTGACTCCCTATTTAAAAAGAAGATGGAGAACAAGCTATGAAAGGAAAATACTGGAGTTTGGGTGCAGGTACAGCCAACTAGCGCAAAAAATTATATTTCGATATTGTCAATATGATACGATACGCTATATCGTCAAAAATAATAATATGTAACTGCATCGATTCCTCCTCCCCCCATAGTCATTTTACATTTATATTTTAGTCATTTAGCAGACGCTCTTATCCAGAGCGACTTACAGGAGCAATTAGGGTTAAGTGCCTTGCTCAAGGGCACATCGACAGATTTTTAACTTAGTCGGCTTGGGGATTAGAACCAGCGACCTTTCGGTTACTGGCACAACGCTCTTAACCACAAAGCTACCTGCCGCCCTAGGTCCTAGTACGCAATGACTACATCAAGCTTGTGACTGTACAAACTTGTTGGTGCATTTGCAGTTTGTTTTGGTTGTGATTCAGATTATTTTGTGCCCAATAGAAATTAATGGTAAATAATGTATTATGTAATTTCAGAGTCACGTTTATTCTAAATAAGATTAGAATATGTTTATGAACACTTCTACATTCATGTGGATGCTACCATGTTTACGGATAATGAATGAATCGTGAATAATGATGAGTGAAAAAGTTAGAGGCACAAAGATCATACTCCCAAAACATTCTAACCTCTCACCAATAACAGGGGAGGCTAGCATTTTGTAGGGGGTATGATATTTATGCTTTCTCACTCATCATTATTCAAGATTCAGTCATGATTATCCATAATCGTGGTAGCATCCACAATGTAGAAGTGTTTACAAACATATTATATTCTTATTTACAATAAAATAGACTCCAAAATGACATAATACATTATTTACTATAAATCTTTATTAGGCACAACATACAGTTTTTTTGTCACTGGCCTACACACAATACCCCATAATGTCAAAGTGGAATTATGTTTTTTGAAATTTTACAAAGTCATAAAAAATGAAAAGCTTAAATATCTTGAGTCAATAAGTATTCAACCCCTTTGTTATGGCAAGACTAAATAAGTTCCGGAGTAAAAATGTGCTTAACAAGTCACATAAGATGCATGGACTCACTCACTGTGTGCAATAATAGTGTTTAACATGATTTTTGACTATCTCATCTCTGTACCCCACACAAACAATTATCTGTAAGGTCCCTCAGTTGAGCAGTGAATTTCAAACACAGATTCAACCACAAAGACCAGGGAGGTTTTTCAATGCCTCGCAAGGAAGGGCACCTATTGGAAGATGGGTAAAAAAATAAAAATATATATATTTGGATGGTGTATCAATACACCCAGTCACTACAAAGATACAGGCGTCATTCCTAACTCAGATGCCGGAGAGGAAGGAAACCACTCAGGGATTTCACCATGAGGTCAATGGTGACTTTAAAACAGTTACAGAGTTTAATGGCTGTGATAGGAGAAAACTGAGGATGGATCAACAACATTGTAGTTACTCCACAATACTAACCTAATTGACAGAGTGAAAAGAAGGAAGCCTGTACAGAAAAAAAAATATTCCAAAATATGCGTCCTGTTTGCAACACTAAAGTAATACTGCTAAAAATGTGGCAAAGCAAATAGAGCTGTCCCTGACTAAAAAAAACTTGGTTGACAGTCGTCTGTGTATTTTTCAAACGTGTATTTTTCAATATTTATACACACCCTATGTGTTTGAATAAAATCAACTATATGCACTGAGCTTGTCTGACACGTTAAGTGCACTGTTTGATTAAATAATTAAGACACACAAATGTCTCGAGGGAGCCCGATGGCCACACTGTGCAAAAAAATAATGACATTGTGTGCCAGTGTGAGAGGTGTACGTTGTCTCTCTCCTCCCTGATTGCAGTGAAAGAGCTCCAAACCACAGCGTGTTTATCGCGCTGTTTGTGCTGAAGCTGCAACATAATTTCAGCCATTTCATTTCTTACTTGTTTCTCTGACTGAAAAGTTCTGCTACCGAAATCCCTAATTTGTTTAGGAAAAACCGTCCCCCAACCCTTGCTCTCTTTATGTGAAACATATAAGCATCGCCTGCATGTGACCAATAGGGCCTGACCTATAGCCTATCATAATCACATCAATAAATTGGTTATAACAAACTCTGAACACCGTAACACCTGACAGCAAAATGGATGTGGAGGACGTGAACAATAAACTCGAAACGGGCTAATGTTTACTGGTTGCTCAGGAGGGAAAGGGGAAGTCAGATCTGTGGAAGACATTTGACTTACACTGAACAAAAATAAACTTAACATGCAACAATTTCAAAGATTTTACTGAGTTACAGTTCATATAAGGAAATCAGTCAATTGAAATGAATTCATTAGGCCCTAATCTATAGATTTCACATGAATGAGAATACAGATATGCATCTGTTGGTCACAGATACCTTTTTAAAAAGGTAGGGGCGTGGATCAGAATACCCATTAGTATCTGGTGTGACCACCATTTGCCTCATGCAGCACAACACATCTCCTTCGCATAGAAACAGGCTGTTGATTGTGGCCTGTGGAATGTTGTCCCACTCTTCAATGGCTGTGCAAAGTTCTTGGATATTGGCGGGAACTGGAACAAGCTGTCGTACACGTCGTTCCAGAGCATCCCAAATATGCTCAATGGATGACATGTCTTGTGAGTATGAAGGCCATGGAAGAGCACACTTCTCCAGTGTGCCAGTGGCCATAGAAGGTGAGCATTTGCCCACTGAAGTCGGTTATGACGCCGAACTGCAGTCAGGTCAAGACCCTGGTGAGGACAACGAGCACGCAGATGAGCTTCCCCGAGACGGTTTCTGTCAGTTTGTGCAGAAATTCTTAAGTTGTGCAAACCCACAGTTTCATCAGCTGTCCGGGTGGCTGGTCTCAGACGATTCCCGCAGGTGAAGAAGCCGGATGTGGAGGTACTGGCTGGCGTGGTTACACATTCTCTAAAACGACATTGAAGGCAGCTTATGGTAGAGAAACTAACATTAAATTATCTGGCAACAGCTCTGGTGGACATTCCTGTAGTCAGCATCCCAATTGCACGCTCCCTCAACTTGAGACATCTGTGACATTGTGTTGTGTGAGACAACTGCACATTTTAAAGTGGCCTTTTATTGTCCCCAGCACAAGGTGCACCTGTGTAATGATCATGCTGTTTAATCAGCTTCTTGATATGCCACACCTGTCAGGTGGATGGATTATCTAAGTAAAGGAGAAATGCTCACTAACAAAGATGTAAACAAATTTGTGCACAATATTTGAGAGGAATAATGTTTTTGTGCGTATGGAAAATTTCTGGGATCTTTTATTTCAGCTCATGAAACGTGACCAACACTTTACATGTTGCGTTTATATTTTTGTTCAGTGTGGTTGTGGAAACTACTGGGAGGGCATAGGAGCAAGCGTTTTGTCAGTATTATGTGTGCCAAACAGGTGCTGTTAGATTACAATATTATTTTTACTGACCATTTGAAACAGTGTAAATAACACTAAATACATTCTAAGTGTACCAGAAAGTGAGTGCTAACGGTAAAATATATATAAATCCTTTATTACAGCTGACTAAAAACAGTTGCATACATTAGTGAATTGAGGTTTATTTATTGTTTAATTATTTAATGCTCCCTTCATTATTGAATAAAAAATAAAATGCTTGATTGCATTTCAAAGCATGAATAACTCGTATGCTGTGATGACATGAACAAATGAATGATTGATACAGTAGCATATACAGTATATTGAAATATAGGCCTAACTAAGTTACGGTATTAAGACTAAACAGGACGCATGCTTAGGCCTACAGCTCGATGGTGGTTATACAAGGCTACTAAGCTACTACACGAAGGCTACTAATGATAATTACATTACTTATTATAATGATGATCATAATAATAATTGTAATAACAATAAGAGATCAAGAAAAAGGAGGGTATAGGAGCGAGAGCTGTGTAACATATTATTTGTGACAAACAGGTGCTGTTAGATTACAATATTATTTTTCTGCCCGTTTGGAACAGTGGAAACAACACAAAATAAATTATATGTAATAGCAGCGATCCTGTGAAAAAAAAAAGTGTAAAGCCTTTTAATACAGCATAGCAAATAATAAAAACAGACGAATTTGTGAAATTGGTTTATGCAACATTTTGCAGTTGCGTGAGGCTTGGTGCTCATGGAATCAGTAGGCTATTAAACAAACACTTAAACAGGCAACAGAAGCAGGATCTGTCTTATTTTGTAGATACAGTGCATTCGGAAAGTATTCAGACCCCTTGACTTTTTCCACATTTTGTTACGTTACAGCTTATTCTAAAATGTATTAAATTATTTTTTTCCCTCAAAAATCTACATACAATACCCCATAATGACAAAGCAAAAACTGTTTTTTAGACATTTTTACAAATGTATATAAAAAAAAACCGGAAATACCTTATTTACATAAGTATTCAGACCCTTTGCTATGAGACTCGAAATTGAGCTCAGGTGCATCCTGTTTCCATTGATCATCCTTGAGATGTTTCTACAACTTGATTGATAGTCCACCTGTGGTAAATTCAATTGGTTGGATATGATTTGGAAAGGCACACACCTGTCTATATACAGTGGGGGAAAAAAGTATTTAGTCAGCCACCAATTGTGCAAGTTCTCCCACTTAAAAAGATGAGAGAGGCCTGTAATTTTCATCATAGGTACACGTCAACTATGACAGACAAAATTAGAATTTTTTTCTCCAGAAAATCACATTGTAGGATTTTTAATAATAATAATAATATGCCATTTAGCAGACGCTTTTACCAAAGCGACTTACAGTCATGCGTGCATACATTATTGTGTATGGGTGGTCCCGGGGATCGAACCCACTATCTTGGCGTTACAAGCGCCGTGCTCTACCAGCTGAGCTACAGAGGACCATAATTATTTGCAAATTATGGTGGAAAATAAGTATTTGGTCAATAACAAAAGTTTCTCAATACTTTGTTATATACCCTTTGTTGGCAATGACACAGGTCAAACATTTTCTGTAAGTCTTCACAAGGTTTTCACACACTGTTGCTGGTATTTTGGCCCATTCCTCCATGCAGATCTCCTCTAGAGCAGTGATGTTTTGGGGCTGTCGCTGGGCAACACGGACTTTCAACTCCCTCCAAAGATTTTCTATGGGGTTGAGATCTGGAGACTGGCTAGGCCACTCCAGGACCTTGAAATGCTTCTTACGAAGCCACTCCTTCGTTGCCCGGGCAGTGTGTTTGGGATCATTGTCATGCTGAAAGACCCAGCCACGTTTCATCTTCAATGCCCTTGCTGATGGAAGGAGGTTTTCACTCAAAATCTCACGATACATGGCCCCATTCATTCTTTCCTTTACACGGATCAGTCGTCCTGGTCCCTTTGCAGAAAAACAGCCCCAAAGCATGATGTTTCCACCCCCATGTTTCACAGTAGGTATGGTGTTCTTTGGATGCAACTCAGCATTCTTTGTCCTCCAAACACGACGAGTTGAGTTTTTACCAAAAAGTTATATTTTGGTTTCATCTGACCATATGACATTCTCCCAATCCTCTTCTGGATCATCCAAATGCACTCTAGCAAACTTCAGACAGGCCTGGACATGGAGAACTTGCACAATTGGTGGCTGACTAAATACTTTTCCCCCCACTGTAAGGTCCCACAGTTGACAGTGCATGTCAGAGAAAACACCAAGCCATGAGGTCGAAGGAATTGTCAGAAGAGCTCCGAGACAGGATTGTGGGAGGCACAGATCTGGGGAAGGGTACCAACAAATGTCTGCAGCATTGAAGGTCCCCACGAACACAGTGGCCTCCATCATTCTTAAATGGAAGAAGTTTGGAACCACCAAGACTGGCCGCCCGGTCAAACTGAGCAATCGGGGGAGAAGGGCCTTGGTCAGGCAGGTGACCAAGAACCCAATGGTCACTCTGACAGAGCTCCAGAGTTCCTCTGTGGAGATTGGAGAAACTTCAAGAAGGACAACCATCTCTGCAGCACTCTACCAATCAGGCCTTTTTGGTAGAGTGGCCAGACGGAAGCCACTCCTCAGTAAAAGGCACATGACAGCCCGCTTGGAGTTTGCCAAAAGGCACCTAAAGACTCTCAGACCATGAGAAACAAGATTATCTGGTCTGAAACCAAGATTGAACTCTTTGGCCTGAATGCCAAGTGTCACGTCTGGAGGAAACCTGGCACCATCCCTACGGTGAAACATGGTGGTGGCAGCATCATGCTGTGGGGATGTTTTTCAGTGGCAGGGACTGGGAGACTAGTCAGGATCGAGGGAAAGAGGAACGGAGTAAAGTACAGAGAGATCCTTAATGAAAACCTGCTCCAGAGTGCTCAGGACTTCAGACTGGGGCGAAGGTTCACCTTCCAACAGGACAACAACCCTAAGCACTCAGCCAAGACAACGCGGGAGTGGCTTCGGGACAAGTCTTTGAATGTCCTTGAGTAGTCCAGCCAGAGCCCGGACTTGAACCCGATCGAACATCTCTGGAGAGACCTGAAAATAGCTGTGCAGGGACACTCCCCATCCAATCTGACAGATCTTGAGAGGATCTGCAGAGAAGAATGTGAGAAACTCTAGACCACCTTTACTCCACACACAGAGACGCATACAAAGCTCTCCCTCGCCCTCCATTTGGATAATCTGACCATAACTCTATCCTTCTGATTCCTGCTTATAAGAAAAAACTAAAGCAGGAAGCACCAGTGACTCGGTTAATAAAAAAGTGGTCAGATGACGCAGATGCTAAGCTACAGGACTGTTTTGATAGCACAGACTGGAATATGTTCCGGGATTCTTCAGATAGCATTGAGGAGTACACCATATCAGTCACTGGCTTCATCAATAAGTGCATCGATGACGTCGTCCCCACAGTGACCGTACGTACATACCCCAACCAGAAGCCATGGATTACAGGCAACATCCGCACTGAGCTAAAGGGTAGAGCTGCCGCTTTCAAGGAGCGGGACCCTAACCCGGACGCTTATAAGAAATCCCGCTATGCCCTCCGACGAACCATCAAACAGGCAAAGAGTCAATACCAGACTAAGATTGAATCGTACTACGCAGGGCTTGAAAACTATTACAGACTACAAAGGGAAGCACAGCCACGAGCTGCCCAGTGACACAAGCCTACCAGACGAGCTAAATCACTTCTATGCTCGCTTCGAGGCAAGCAACACTGAAGCATGCATGAGAGCACCAGCTGTTGCGGATGACTATGTGATCACGCTCTCCGTAGCCGATGTGAGGAAGACTTTTAAGCAGGTCAACATTCACAAGGCTGCAGGGCCAGACAGATTACCAGGACGTGTACTCCTAGCATGTGCTGACCAACTGGCAAGTGTCTTCACTGACATTTTCAACATGTCCCTGACTGAGTCTGTAATACCAACATGTTTCAAGCAGACCACCATAGTCCCTGTGCCCAAGGACACTAAGATAACCTGCCTAAATGACTATCGACCCGTAGCACTCACATCTGTAGCCATGAAGTGCTTTGAAAGGCTGGTCGTGGCTCACATCAACACCATTATCCCAGAAACCCTAGACCCACTCCAATTTGCATACCGCCCTAACAGATCCAAAGATGATGCAATCTCTATTGCACTCCACACTGCCCTTTCCCACCTGGACAAGAGGAATACCTACGTGAGAATGCTATTCATTGACTACAGCTCAGCGTTCAACACCATAGTGCCCTCAAAGCTCATCAATAAGCTAAGGATCCTGGAACTAAACACCTCCCTCTGCAACTGGATCCTGGACTTCCTGACGGGCCGCCCCCAGGTGGTAAGGGTAGGTAACAACACATCTGCCACGCTGATCCTCAACACACGTGGGCCCCTCAGGGGTGCGTGCTCAGTCTCCTTCTGTACTCCCTGTTCACCCATGACTGCATGGCCAGGCACGACTCCAACACCATCATTAAGTTTGCTGACGACACAACAGTGTTTATTATTTATGCATAGTCACATATTACCTCAATTACCTAGACTAGCCGGTACCCCCCTGTATATAACCTCCCTATTGTTATTTTACTGCTGCTCTTTAGTTATTTGCTTTTATTCTTTTAGAAAATGCATTGTTGGTTAATGGCTTGTAAGTAAGCATTTCACTGTAATGTCTACACCTGTTGTATTCGGTGCATGTGGCAAATAAAATTTGATTTGATCATGTTATGGGTATGCTTGTAATCATTAAGTTCTGGGGAGTTTTTCAGGATAGAAAAGAAACGGAATGGAGCTAAGCACAGGCAATATCTTAGAGGAAAACCTGGTTCAGTCTGCTTTCCACCAGACACTGACACTGGGAGATGAATTCACCTTTCATCAGGACAATAATCTAAAACACAAGGCCAAATCTACACTGGAGTTACTTCCCAAGAAGACAGTGAATGTTCCTCAGTGGCGAGTTATAGTTTTCACTTAAATCTGCTTGAAAATCTATGGCAAGACCTGAAAATGGTTGTCTAGCAATGATCAACAACCAATTTGACAGAGCTTGAAGAATTTTGAAAATAATAATGGGCAAATGTTGCACAATCCAGGTGTGGAAAGCTCTTAGAGATTTACCCAGAAAGACTCACAACTGTAATCGCTCCCAAAGTGATTCTAACATCTATTGACTCAGGAGGTTGAATACTTATCTAATCAAGATATATTAGTGCTTTATTTTTCATAAATGTTTTACAAATGTTAGAATTGTCCTTCCACTTTGATATTACAGTGTATTTTGTGTAGATCGTTGACAAAAAATGACAATTCAATCCATTTTAATCCCATTTTGTAACAACAAAATGTGGAAAAAGTCAAGCAGTGTGAATACTTTCTGAAGGCACTGTAATCTGAAACACAACCAAAACAAACTGCAAATGCAGACTAACAAGTTCATTGCGTGCTAGGAATATGGCACAAAATACTAAACTTTTGACTACTTTAATACACACACAAGTGAATTTGTCCAAATACTTATGACACCTTCAAATGGGGGGACTTTCGTTTCTAAACGGTACAACAGATACTTATGAAAATAACCTCAAATAAAAGGTGACATTCTGTACTGTCGCCTCATATGAAACGTTTGATCTCAAAATGCTGGAGTATAGAGCCAAATTAAACGTATTAGCTTCACCACCCAAATAAATACATAGGGGAGTGTATATGCCTAACTTTAGACTGCTGAGCCACTCAGTCATCTGAGGCACTGCATCGCAGTGCTAGAGGCATCACTACAGACCCGGGTCCGATCCCGGGCTGTATCACAACCGGCCGTGATCGGGAGTCCCATAGGGCGGCGCACAATTGGCCCAGCGTCGTTCGGGTTGGCCCATCATTGTAAATAAGAATTTGTTCTTAACTGACTTGCCTAGTAAAATAAAAAATATATAACTTTGCCTTAGCATTGATTATGTTATTATTATCCTTGAAATTGAATACCCAAATTCCAGTGTAATTCCAATGTAATGTGATTTGTAAAGAATGGTATATGAACTGCCCTAATGTGCAATTATGTGTTGTTGATAAAGGCATTGTCATCTGTGGCTATTCTTGTTTCCAGTCCTCCCCCCTCTCATTATGTGGTTTACCTCTTTCTTCTCCTACTCCAGATGCTCTCGTCTCCCTCACCGTCGTCATCAGGTCAACTGTCCCAGCTTGGTGCCAGTTTATACGGCCCACAGAGTAAGCTGGCTGCATCTGTTTTCAGGGTCTTTCCTACTAAGGCCATAATACATTTATGTCTAAAACAATTCGGTAGTCAAGTCATACCTGGAGCTATTTGATCAATTAAAATAATGACCGTATATACTTGATAAATATACCCAATTCTAAACAGACTTCAACACTATTCCCTTAGGCACTTCTTGTTGATCTCAAAAGATTGCTATAAGAGATATCCAATCTCATGGTCACTTTGGAAGAGTGTTTACTGTTTCTATTTCTCGTGTTGCAGGTGCACTAGGCTTCTCGATAAGGGGCATGGGCAACAACACTCAGTTAAACCGCAGCTTAACGCAAGGCACCCAGCTACCGAGCCATATCACCCCCACCACGGGGGTGCCCACCTTGTCCCTCCATACCCCACCTTCGCCAAGCAGGTGTGTGGAAGAGATGAGACGTGAGACAGAAATGCTGGCGAGAGAGATAGCTTTGGCAATGTAAACAAATGTTTCCCATGCCAATAAAACCCATTGAATTGAATTGAGATATTCTGGAGACAGACATATAACACATAAGCCAGTGTGTTTGAATGCCAATAATTAGTTAGCCAGTCAGTTCAGTTCAGTGGTTCCAGAGCAGGACAGGACATTATTAGTAAAATCATCATCTGGCTTCATATCAATCTCCAACCCATTATGTGTCCTCGACAGGGGGATCCTGCCGATGAACTCGAGGAACATGCTAAACCACTCCCAGGTGGGCCAGGGCATCGGGATGGGCAGCAGCAGGACCAACAGCATGGGCAGCCCCAACCGCAGCTCCCCCAGCATCATCTGTATGCCCAAACAGCAGCCTGCACGGCAGCCCTTCACCATCAACAGGTACACAGTCACACGGTCTGGCTGGCCATACAATTGAAAGATCTGCTGTTCTCAACTCTCTGTATAAATCAATAGTTTTTTGTGATGATTGGAAATAGATATTAAGTGCTCCAGTTGGAGGCTAAAGTTGTCCTCTGTATTTCTGTAGCATGTCAGGATTCGGAATGAACCGAAACCAGGCGTTTGGGATGAACAACTCGTTATCAAGCAACATCTTTAATGGCACAGGTTAGTAGTGTGTCTCTTCATAATAACCAACTATCTGATGCTCAGTCTGGCCATTGATTGAAACATCACACTCAGGCCGGTTTTACCTGTATGTTTTCTGGCAAGTTTTTATAACGTCCACTTACCTATCCATTCACACAATCAATAAGACACACAGTCAGCATGAATAGTAACATACATTTACCTACCCATATGGCTTTCTTACAAGTCTTTAACCCTCCCCCTCACAGACGGCAGTGAAAACGTGACGGGGCTAGACCTGTCCGACTTCCCTGCGTTAGCAGACAGGAGTCGGAGGGAAGGAAGCGGAAACCCAACGCCGCTACTCAACCCACTAGCTGGAAGGGCCCCCTATGGTAAGAACTCTTTATAGTGCACTAGCAAGGATTTATAATTGTGGACTAAACTAGGAGGGCTACCTATAGTAAGGGCTCAACGTAGTGCACTAGAAAGAAGGGCTCCCTGTAAGAAGTGTTCATTGTAATGCACTAGGCTTGGATGCTAAGGGCACTTGGCAGTGCACGTGTAAAAGCATCAGACACATCACATTACTGTGGGCCAGTCAGTACTGCTAGACACATTCTCATTGTAAATACTCAGTTCACTTGTCTCTCTTCAAATATAAACTGTGGCGAGTCATGTGATGAAGAAAGGGAAAAGGCCTTCTCCAATGGTGTGTGTGTATATAACCCAAGGCTAAACTTCTTTCTCATTGTGGTGATTTATTTAAGAAGCCTCTTCTCTTCATCTCATGACCTCATCAGTTGGCATGGTGACGAAGCCATCAAATGAGCCGACGCAGGATTTCTCCATCCACAACGAGGACTTCCCTGCACTGCCTGGTCCCAACTACAAGGACCCTACTTTGAGCAACGACGACAGCAAGACAGTGAGTCACACAGACAGACTTCCTTTAGCCTGTCTGTTTTCCTTGGTCGTTGTCATGCCAAACATGGATAAAGCAGAAACGGACAGGCAACCAGGCAAGGCCTCCTTATGTTGAGCAGCAACAGCTTTTATTTATTTTTATTTAACCTTTATTTAACTAGGCAAGTCTACTGCATATTCAAGTGTTTCACCTTATAGTTAGAAGAGCGGACATCTTATATTAAAAGCAATGTTCCATGATGTCATGTGGGTTATAGATGTAATAAAAATAAGATAATTATTAATTAATTAGTTTTTTGCTTTGTTCAGAACCTAAACTCTACAGGCAAGAGCACGTCCAGTGCAGACGGGCCTAAGTTCCCCGGAGACAAGACGACCTCGGCACAGAACAACAACCAGAAAAAAGGGATCCAGGTGTTACCTGACGGTGAGCCCTCTCAACCAATCACACCTCTCGGTCTCGACCTGGGTGGGTTTTGAGATGGTTCCTGCATGACTGTTGGCCAGTGGTGTTGTCCAAACTTTACACTAGCTGGAGGGAAAGCTCTACTTGGTTATTATTATTTTCCCTAAGTGTGGCTTTTCCTACCTCTGTAGGGCGGGTGACGAACATTCCCGGGGGAATGGTGACGGACCAGTTTGGGATGATCGGCTTGCTGACATTTATTCGAGCGGCGGAGACGGACCCGGGCATGGTGCACCTGGCACTGGGGAGTGACCTCACAACACTGGGACTCAACCTCAACTCTCCAGAGTAAGATGTCTGCTCTGTCTCAACGTTAGGTTGAAGGGATACATAACTCAAAAATCTACGTTTTGTCGGATGTTCTTATTCATCAAAAGTGGTATTAAGTTAAGTCCATGTTGAGAGTAACATGTCCTCTCCTCTCCTGACAGAAACCTGTACCCCAAGTTTGCTTCCCCCTGGGCATCAGCACCGTGTCGACCTCAAGACATTGGTAAGACATTATCCTGACCACACACGCACACTGAAACACACCAAGATGCACGCCAAGACACATACACCAGGATAGTCCACTCAGTTGCCACAACTGCCACTGTTTTCCACCAAAACGCACACACCCGCACCCCGCACTGAGCCTGTTGGTGACCCTGGTGCAACCTCTCTTTCAGACTTCCACGTCCCGTCTGAGTACTTAACCAACATTCACATACGGGACAAGGTAGGTGATGAATCAGTAATCTAACCAGTTTGTGTAACACCCCCTTTCATGTGGTATTGAGCTTATGCTCTTGAAGAAAACACAATGTCATCATTAGATAAACAAATGATGGTGTTGATAAAGACGTCTCTCCTCCTCAGCTGGCAGCTATAAAGCTGGCTCGTTACGGTGAAGACCTGCTGTTCTATCTGTACTACATGAATGGAGGAGACCTGTTACAGCTCCTGGCAGCAGTAGAGCTGTAAGTAGCACATCCAAACTACTACTGACGGCATTGAACTTACTTTGTAGTATAGAGTGCCTTGCTCAGAGAAGTGTCTTTTATTTAGATATGATCCATGGTCGGACTCCTCCCAAAAGTGATTTTAGAGATATATTACCTCACCGTAACTCCCAGCATCACTTTTTGGTTTTCTTTCAATAGTTGTCCAAAGTTCCACAGTTCTTTCCATAGGTTGTTATCAATAAGCGATTTGTGCGTCTTTTCTTTAGTGACTTCACTGTGCAGTAATGGGATTTCTCTCTCTCCTGTCTGTGCCTGGTGTTGGTGCAGCTTCAACCGGGACTGGCGGTACCACAAGGAGGAGCGGGTGTGGATCACGCGGGCGCCAGGCATGGAGCCCACACTAAAGACCAACACCTACGAGAGGGGGACCTACTACTTCTTTGATTGTCTTAACTGGAGGAAGGTAGCCAAGGTAAAGGTGTTGGCTTTAGTATATGCTATCCTCAATCAATACACTTAACATTAAAGGGATCGTTCAGGATTTTGGCAGTCTACTTCCCCAGACTCCGATTAACTCTAGTATACAATGTTTATGTCTCTGCGTCCAGTATGAAGGAAGTTAGATGTAGTTTCGTGAGCCAATGCTAACTAGAGTTAGTGCAATGCTAACTAGAGTTAGCATGCTAGCTGTTCTCATAGACGTCCAGTCATTGTGCTAACACTAGTTAGAAATTGCGCTAACGCTAGTTAGCAACTTCCTTCAAACTGCACGCAGTGACATAAAAATGGTATCCTCGAGTTCTTCTGACTCTGGGTAAGTAGATAAAGGGCTTCATTGCCAAAATCCCAAACTATCCCTTTAAGAGAAAGCTTTATGTGTGTGCCTTTTAGATTTAGATGTATGCCTTGAGTTGTGAATCTCCTTAGATGGAGTTACGTTGGTTCTGACCCTCAAGAAAGGCTTGTAAAAAGGCTCAAGATAGGCCTTCTGTATCTCTCGGTTACTGGTGATGTCACACTGAGTTTTCAGTTCTTGATGATCAGTAGTCTCACTCGGGCCATATAAACTCAGCAGGAATCTTCCATTTCCATTGCTGATTGTGTGTTCTCAATCCCTTCAGGAGTTCCACCTGGAGTACGACAAGCTAGAAGAGAGGCCCCACGTCCCGTCTACCTTCAACTACAACCCAGCCCAGCAGGCCTTCTGAGGCCCAGTACAGTACAGTCCCAGGGGAACTGCTTTCCCTGCACACCTCCCTCCCAGCCTGAGGAGGGTGCTGTGGCCCAGGCATCCATCCTGGTTTTTATTCCTTGAGGATCTGGTTAAAATGACTGCAGAGGAGGCGCTCACCACTGTATAAGGGTGGGGAAAACTGAGCCCTGCCTTTCCCAAATGATGTGCTGCCCAAACACCTATATCTGTTCTGTTTTTATTCCTTTAGTTTCCTCGTTTTTGGAGGGGGTTGAGCAGGGTCTGTGTTTTGTTTACCTCTGAATAAGAAGACTGACTATACCGGCACACTTTACAGTGACAAAACAAGGGTTATGCCTCATTTTTTCAACAACAAAAAAAGTGTTAAGAACAGACAAAGGTGGGGAAGGCTAAGCCAACAAGTACCATCCCAGACGTGAGAATGAAAGGGCGGAAGAAATGCAATGTTCTTTGTTGCACTATTTAGTAATAAAAGAACACAAAGATTGTTTGTGCTTTTTTAAGTGAATTACACTCCCTCATGTTTTGTTTTGGAAAGATGAGCAGCCTGTCTACACATCTCTCTCTCTCTCCACTTCTCCTTTCATCTCTCCTCTTGTACATTCCCTCTTTTCTCCTCAACCGGCCCCACATCCCTTTCTTTCCTTTTGACAGGTATTTTCTGTCTGGCGTCAATATAGACACAAATCAGATACTTTCTTTAGTGAATGTTCTCACAACCTGTGGACAACCCTTACAAGGGTTGTTAGATTACCTAACCAGCTTCATTGTTCCAGAGCAAGCAAAACACTTTCCAGTCTTTGTTACGATTTTGTAATAAATGTGTAAAAATATATATTTTTATGTTTGAACATCACATGAATAGTGATATGTATGTCTGAATGTGTATATATTATATATGTGTATGTCTATATATATATATTTATATATGTATATGTGTATTTATATATGGTGGTGTGTGTGTATATATATATGTATATGTGTATTTATTAATATGTATGGTGTTATATATATTATCTATATATAATATATAATATATATATAATATATTATTTATATATATATACGACATATATGTGTATATATATTATATAATATGTGTATATATATTATATATATGTATATATATATATATATATATATATATGTATATATATATATATATATATATTATATATATATATATATATATACACGTGTGTGTGTGTGTGTGTGTGTATATATTGGAGAAAAAAATTGCCCTGCCTTGTACCTCGTTTTTAGGAAGTCAGCATGGATGCAATATGTGGATAAAATAGGACATTTCTGGATCTGCTGGACAGGGCGTCGCACTCGGCACCGTGAGCACTTACGAAGAATTACAAATAAAGACGAACGAGGAAAGACCTGATTCTCAGCTAAAACAAGGAAATCCACCCCCAAACAAACCAACTAGTCAGTCCAAAGCAAGAGAACAGATGGACACATTTCACTTAAAGCTGTTTAAACAGCAGCATTTCATAGGAAATTGAAAAATTAATAATAATTTTAAGAATAATGAATACAGACCAATCTTGTATTTTCTGAAGTTCAAAGCCTCTTTTCTTTGTAATAAAGCAGAAAAGGCTTTCCTGAACTACTATTGTGTGGCGTCTGATTTCTGACGGAAGGAGACATTCTGACATTTTAAATCTTCACATGGGTCTTGATGAAAACCAAACAAATTTGACACTGAATTTATATGAAATGATATCCCCCTTGGAGTTGTATATGTATTATCTGTGTATTACTGACCTGTTGATACACAATTTAAAGGACAGTCACAGACAGGACCATCTCAGGGTCCAGTGTTATTGAATGACAGAAGGAGTAGGGAGGGATGGAATGTGTAGGGCTAATATATACTGAACAAAAATATAAATGCAACATGTAAAGTGTTGGTCCCATTTTTCTGAGGTGAAATAAAAGATCCTAGCAATATTCCATATGCCCAAAAATGTATTTCTCTCATATTTTCACAAATTTGTTTACATCCCTGTTACTGAGTATTTGTCCTTTGCCAAGATAATCCATCCACTTGACAGGTGTGGCATGTCAAAAAGCTGATCATTACACAGGTGCACCTTGTGCTGGGGACAATAAAAGGCCACTCTAAAATGTGCAGTTTTGTCACACAACACAATGCCACAGATTGGAGCATGCAATTGTCATGCTGACTGCAGGAATGTCCAACAGAGCTGTTGCCAGAGAATTTAATGTTAATTTCACTACCAAAAGGCGCATCCAACGTCGCTTTAGACTATTTGGCAGTACATCCAACCAGTCTCACAACTGCAGACCATGTGTAACCATGCCAGCCCAGAACCTCCAAATCTGTATTTTTCACCTGTGGGATTGTCGGGGGGGGGGGGGCGGCAATTGATTGATTTCCTTCTATGAACTGTAACTCAGTAAAATCTTTGAAATTGTTGCATGTTGCACTTATATTTTTGTTCAGTATATAAGGGCAAGGTCAGAGATGGGCAACTCTAGTCATCTGGGGCCTGATTGGGGATACACTTTTGCCCCAGCCCCTGCTAACACACCTCCAATAATCAACTAATATAATGGTCTTCAGTTTAGAATGCAAACACAGAAAGACAGTCGTGAAGAGGGCATGACAATGCCTATTCCCCCTCAGGAGACTGAAAAGATTTGGCATGGGTCCCCAGATCCTCAAAAAGTTCTACAGCTGCACCATCGAGAGCATCCTGACTGGTTGCATCACCGCCTGGTATGGCAACCGTTCGGCATCCGACTGTAAGGCTCTACAGAGGGTAGTGCGTACAGTCCAGTACATCACTGGGGCCAAGCTTCCTGCCATCCAGGACATCTATACCAGGCGGTGTCAGAGAAAGGCCCAAAAAATTGTCAAAGACTCCAGTCACCCAAGTCATACTCTGTTCTCTCTGCTACCGCACGGCAAGCGGTACCGGAGCGCCAAGTCTAGGTCCAAAAGGCTCCTTAACAGCTTCTACCCCCAAGCCATAAGACTGCTGAATTATTAATCAAAATGCCACCAGGACTATTTGCATTGACACCCCAACCCCACTTTGTTTTTACACTGCTGCTACTCGCTGTTTATTATCTATGCATAGTCACTTTACCTCTACCTACATGTACAAATTACTTCAATTACTTCGACTAACCTGTATCCCCGCACATTGACTCATTACCGGTACCCCCTGTATATAGCCTTGTTATTGTTATTTTATTGTTACTTTTTTACTTTAGTTTATTTAGTAAATATTTTCTTAACTCTATTTTCTTAAAACTGCATTGTTGGTTCAGCGCTTGTAAGTAAGCATTTCACGGTAAGGTCTACACCTGTTGTATTTGGCGCATGTGACAGGCAAAGACAATATTAACTGTACACTTGTACATTTGAGTTGCAATCTTAGTCCCCTTCCCTTCATATGCAAATGGAATGATGATCTCTTGGATCGCAGCCAGCAAATTAATAATGATTGTGCTGCCAGGGATTTACAATACCTCACTGACATAACTACAGATATAAAACGAATCTCTGTCTGGTAAATGTATTATTATTATTACAGTTTTGGTCAAATGTCTGAGGGATGTTTCTCTTGGCTTTACTTACTCACAAATCCTCGACCATTGCTATTCAAACTTCAAGGATGGTTATAAGGCCCTCCCCCGCCCTCCTTTCAGCAAATCTGACCACGACTCCATTTTGCTTCTCCCTTCCTATAGGCAGAAACTCAAACAGGAAGTACCCGTGCTAAGGACTATTCAACGCTGGTCTGACCAATCGGAATCCACGCTTCAAGATTGTTTTGATCACGCGGACTGGGATATGTTCCGGGTAGCTTCCGAAAATAATTTAGACATATACACTGAAACGGTGACGGAGTTTATCAGGAAGTGTATAGGTGATGTTGTGCCCACTGTGACTATTAAAACCTACCCTAACCAGAAACCGTGGATAGACGACAGCATTCGCGCAAATCTGAAAGCGCGAACCACCACATTCAACCATGGCAAGGTGACTGGGAATATGGCAGAATACAAAAACAGTGTAGCTACTCACTCCGCAAGGCAATTAAACTGGCAAAGCATCAGTATAGAGACAAAGTGGAGTCGCAATTCAACGGCTCAGACACGAGACGTATGTGGCAGGGTCTACAGACAATCACGGACTACAAAAAGAAAACTAGCCACGTCGCCGACACCGACATCTCGCTTCCAGACAAGCTAAACACCTTCTTCGCCCGCTTCAAGGATAACACAGTGCCACTGACGAGGCCCACTACCAAGGACTGTGGCCTCTCCTTCTCCATGGCCGACGTGATTAAGACATTTTAGCACGTTAACCCCCGCAAGGCTGCCCGCCCAGACGGCATCCCTAGTCGCGTCCTCAGAGAATGCGCAGACCAGCTGGCTGGTGTGTTCATGGACATATTCAATCTCTCCCTTTCCCAGTCTGCTGTTCCCACATGCTTCAAGATGGCCACCATTATTCCTGTACCCAAGAAATCAAAGGTAACTGAACTAAATGACTATCGCCCTGTAGCACTCACCTCTGTCATCATGAAGTGCTTTGAGAGACTAGTCAAGGCATATCACCTCTATTTTACCTGTCACCCTAGATCCACTTCAATTTGCTTACCGCCCCAATAGATCCACAGACGATGCAATTGCCATCACACTGCCCTATCCCATCTGGACAAGAGGAATACCTATGTAAGAATGCTGTTCATTGACTATAGCTCAGCATTCAACACCATAGTACCCTCCAAGCTCATCATTAAGCTCGAGGCTCTGGGTCTGAACCCCGCCTTGTGCAACTGGGTCCTGGACTTCCTGAAGGGCCGCCCCCAGGTGGTGAAGGTAGGAAACAACATCTCCACTTCGCTGATCCTCAACACTGGGGCACAAGGGTGTGTGCTCAGCCCCCTCCTGTACTCCCTGTTCACCCATGACTGCGTGGCCAAGCACGCCTCCAACTCAATCATCAAGTTTGGAGACGACACAACAGTAGTAGGCTTGATTACCAACAATGACGAGACCGCCTACAGGGAGGAGGTGAGGGCTTTGGGAGTGTGGTGCCAGGAAAATAACCTCTCACTCAACTTCAACAAAACAAAGAAGATGATCGTGGACTTCAGGAAACAGCAGAGGGTGCACCCCCCTATCCACATCGACGGGACCGCAGTGGAGAAAGTGGAAAGCTTCAAGTTCCTTGGCGTACACATCACTGACAAACTGAAATGGTCCACCCACACAGACAGTGTGGTGAAGAAGGCGCAACAGAGCCTCTTCAACCTCAGGAGGCTGAATAAATGTGGCTTATCACCTAAAACCCTCACAAACGTTTACAGATGCACAATTGGGAACATCCTGTCATGCTGTATCTCCGCCTGGTACGGCAACTGCACCGGCCACAACCACAGGGCTCTCCAGAGGGTGGTGCGGTCTGCCGAACGCATTACCGGGGGCAAACTACCCGCCCTCCAAGACACATACAGCACCCGATGTCACAGGAAGGCCAAAAAGATCATCAAGGACATCAACCACCCGAGTCACTGCCTGTTCACCCCGCTATCACTAGAAGGTGAGGTCAATACAGGTGCATCAAAGCTGGGACCGAGAGAATGAAAAACAGCTTCTATCTCAAGGCCATCAGACTGTTAAATAGCCATCACTAGCACATTAGAGGCTGCTGCTGCCTATTTAAATCACTGGCCACTTTAAGAAATGGAACACTAGTCACTTTAATAATGTTTACATATCTTGCACTACTCATCTCATATGTATATACTCCATTCTATTCTATAATATTCTTCTGTATCTTAGTCCATGCTGCTCTGTCATTGCTTGTCCATATATGTATATATTCTTAAATCCCATTCCTTACTTTTTTTGTGTGTACTGGGTATATGTTGTGTAATTGTTAGATATTACTGCACTGTCGGAGCTAGAAGCATTTCGCTACACCCGCTATAACATCTACTAAACACGTGTATGTGACAAATACATTTTGATTTGATTTGTACTGGCATACCCGTTAATGACCAAGATTAACCTAATGGTCATGGTATTGGCTACACCTTTACACATTTAAATCAGCCCAAGGCCAAGCCAATAAGTATCCCATATACTGTGTATTGCGTTGCAGTAAAGGAGTGGGCGGAGTAGGGAGTCACCAGTACTCTGTATTAAACCCATTGCCCAGCACAAGATACCCATTCACGTTTTACAGACTCTATTGAGTATTTCCAAAAAGTGTATTTTGTTTACAGGTATGCCAGTACGTCATTGTTTACATTGTCTTTGTTTACATTTATTTATTTGCCCCATGACTTCAGGGTGCTCATGGGTAATGTATTTTTTTGTTAACAAAATACAGGACAGATGTGTTGGGGATATTACTGATATGAAATACACCGTGTGTTGGTTTATATGTCTCATACAAGAAAAACATATATTTGTAAAACTGTATGCTATTTGAATGTGATTTATTGGAACATGACAATTCATATGCTGGAGAATATTACATTTTCTGTCATAACATGATTGCTTACACTAGATGGTGTATTTCACTGTTGAAGAGCATCACTGTGTGAAGGGAACTGTGTGTGTGTGTGTGTGTATTTGTGTGTGTGTGTGTTTGAGCAATGCCATAGCTTTGAAGGAGCTTCAGCCATTCAGGGAGGAGGAAAACCGTTATGGACAGAATAAGCAGAGTAAAAGGACAACGATGGAGTATCTACTTCTCCAAAATCTATTTATTCTCTCACATGTGTAATATACATTTACATTTTAGTAATATGCTATGGTTTCACACTTTAGGTAAGTCACCTTTTTCTCTCTTAACATACTATCTTGGAACTTTACATATTTTCAACTTCAGACCAAATTTGTTTATATGCAAATTACTTACAGAATAACAAGTCATTGATTCACTCACTGTCACTCAATTCCAGATAGACTCACTCTGAATATTCTGACAGTGTCTGCCATTTTCAGAGTTACCTAATGAATTGAATATCTCGCTCAAGTTGTTTGGCTATTGTGTGACTGCTAGCGCCATGAGGCCCCACATTGTTTCCCTGTCTGACAAGGGACTTTGTAATAGCATGGGAAAACCCTGAGTATGTGGGAGAATGCCTAGCAAATTATACCATACAAGCATCAGATGTTATGTGTCAGACAGTCGTGCTGTCGCTATGACTCTCTTGTATGCTTGGCTGTCTTATATGCTCAAGTGTAAAGATACCATGTATCTAAGTCATTTATCTGTGTCTGTGCATCACAAGTGTGTTACATTACACACTAAGGCTACATTGCCTTATGAAGGTATTCATATCCCTTGACTTATTCCACATTTTGTTGTGTACAGCCTAAATTCAAAATTGATGAAGTAATTTTTTTTCACCCATCTACACACAATAGCCCATAATGAGAAAGTGAAAACATGTTATTAGCAAATGTATTGAAAATGAAATACAGAAATATCTCATTTACTGTATATATGTATTCACACCCGAGTCAAGACATGTTAGAATCACATTTGGCAGCGATTACAGCTGTGAGTCTTTCTGGGTAAGTCTCTAGGAGCTTCGCACCCATGGATTTTACAATATTGAAGCTGGTTGAGAGAATGCCAAGAGTGTGCAAAGCTGTCATCAAGGCAAAGGGTGGCAATTTGAAGAATCTCAAATATATTTGTTTAACACGTTTTTGGTTACTACATGATTCCATATGTGTTACTTCATAGTTTTGATGTCTTCACTATTATTCTACAATGTAAAAAAATTAGAAAAACCCTTGAATGAGTAGGTGTGTCCAAACTTTTGACTGGTAGTGTATTTAAAGTGATACTCAGTGATGTGTTGTGTTGGATTTGCCCCAAACATAACGCTTTGTATTCACGACATCAACTTCATTTCTTTGCCACATGTTTTGCAGTTTTACTTTAGTGCCTTATTGCAAATAGGATGCATGTTTTGGAATATTTTTTATTCTGTACCAGCTTCCTACTTTTCACTCTGTCATTTACGTTAGTTTTGTGGAGTAAACTACAATGTTGTTGATCCATCCTCAGTTTTCTCCTATCACAGCCATTAAACTCTGTAACTGTTTTAAAGTCACCATTGGCCTCATGGTGAAACCCCTGAGAGGTTTCCTTCCTCTCCGGCAACTGAGTTAGGAAGGACGCCTGTATCTTTGTCGTGACTGGCTGTATTGATACACCTTCCAAAGTGTAATTAATAACTTCACCATGCTCAAAGGGATATTCAATGTCGGCTTTTTTATTTTTTACCCATCTACCAATAGGTGCACTTCTTTGCGAGGCATTGAAAACCCTCACTGGTCTTTGTGGTTGAATCTGTGTTTGAAATTCACTGCCCGACTGAGGGACTGTGTGGGGTACAGAGATGAGGTAGCCATTCAAATATCACGTTAAACACTATTATTGCACACAGAGTGAGTCCATGCAACTTATGTGACTTGTTAAGCACAATTTTACTCCAGAACTTATTTAGGCTTGCCATAACAAAGGGGTTGAATACTTATTGACTCAAGATATTTCAGCGTTCCTTTTTTTATTAATTAGTAAAAATGTCTAAAAACGTCATTCCACTTTGACATTATTGGGTATTGTGTGTAGGCCAGTGAAACGAAATCTCAATGTAATCCATTTAAAATACAAGCTGGAACAAAACAAAATGTAGAAAAAGTCAAGGGGTGTGAATACTTTCCGAAGGCACTTTTTACCACACCTTTTACACAGCAACAAGTGCATTTATTATTTTCTTATCTTGCCAGTAGTTCATGACTACTACCATGAGTGTTCACTGATAACATCAACATTAAGGATGATACATACAGTAACTGTCTGATTACCTCCTGCTGATTTTCTTCGACCCAGTTATATCAACTTGTGAGTTCAGGTGAGGACACCTTTTCTTCGGAGTAGCAGTAGGAGTGTCTAACTCACTCAGGACACATCATTGTTCGGATGGCCAACACTGGGCACAGGATGACCAACCGGCCCCAAATGACATCGTGGGCACAGGAAAACACAACAGGCACCACTATGGGTCCTGCCTAGCCCCAGACACACAACATCCAGGGGGTCACCAACAACTCCTAAACGGAGCTCAGGACCCAACCAACACCAGCCCCTTTAGTGAGCTCTCTCCATACACAGAGACGGACCCTCTGCTCCCCAATGGACACTTCCCTGGCTCCAAGGTCAATGAGGAAGTTATGGAGAAGGACCCAGAGGATTGTGGTGCCCAGGGCAGTGTCCAATAAGTGCCCAGTGAGTCTGTCAGGTCTATGGTTCTGCAGATACTAGTGCCTTTCCTACTGGCTGGATTGGGGACGGTGTCAGCTGGAATGCTACTGGACATAGTTCAGGTGAGGTACTGATAAATTGCATGGTGTGTTTATTTTTTTATCTGTTATTGCATTGTGTATGGGCGTGTACTGTATTGTGTTTTAGTGTAGTGCATGGTATGTTTATGTATTGTGTTGTGTGTCTGTATATTGATCTATTGCATTGTGTGCTCGTCTGGCTAGTAGTGTATTGGGTGTTGGTGTGTCCACTGCACTGTGTGCCAGTCTATTACATGGCTCTCCAACCCTGTTCCTTGAGAGCTACCATCCTGTAGGTTTTCATTTCAACCCTAATCTAGCGCACCTATTTCTAATAATGATTTGGTTTAAAAGATGAATCAGGTCAGTTACAACTGGAATTGGAGTGAAAACCTACAGGAGTATTCAACTGTGGGTGTGTTGTTGTGGCAGCATTGGGAGGTGTTCCAGAGAGTCACAGAAATCTTCATCCTGGTGCCAGTTCTACTGGGCCTGAAGGGAAACCTGGAGATGACCCTGGCCTCCAGACTCTCAACCGCAGTGAGTACATACACATACACACGCTCACACATAATATGCCATTTAGCAGACGCTTTTATCCAAAGCGACTTACAGTCATGCGTGCGTAATTTTTTTTTTTTGTGTATGGTTGGTCCCGGGGATCGAACCCACTACCTTGGCGTTACAAGCGCTGTGCTCTACCAGCTGAGCTACAGAGGACCAAGCACGCACGCACACACAAACAACACACACACACACAATCAATCCATACCTCAAAACAGTGGGAAATCCATTCCTCACATTGTTTCTCGCTTGCATTGTGACTTCTCTGTCCCCATGTGAAAATCCTCACCTGCCTGTGAAGAAAATATCCCTGCACAACTCCCTACAGTACAACACTGAAATAATGTAACTACAACCTATACTGCATATATGACTCTGAATCTACCCTCCCTTACCATGTATTGTGCACACAGGATGTATGGTGTGTTATTGCATTTTTCACCCCCAACTGAACAACCTGCTGACTGGCATGATGGAAAATGTTCTGATTATAGAATGCATGACCTCTAGTAACTGATGCTCTCCCACTCATTTTGTCTTCTGTTAGGTAAATGTGGGGAAAATGGAAACTGCCAGAGCTAAGTAGAGTTTGATTATTGGGAACCTGGCACTAAAACAGGTAAATGAGTATGGTTATATTAAATGTTTAGTCACAGTAGATGGATAAAGACCCAAATGACAGACACAGGTTGGCCCTTGTGTGTCATACTGTTCACAGTGTTATCTGCCCACTCTCTAGATGCAAGCCACAGTGCTGGGTCTTCTGGCTGCCTTAACAGCGGTGGTCTTGGGCTGGGTACTGGAGAGAGATATGTTCCTCAGTCACGCTACTCTCCTCTGCTCAGCCAGTGTAACTACGGCCTTCATGGCTTCACTGCTGCAGGGTAAGGACACCAAATAGCCCTGTCTACACGACCAAAAGTATGTGGACACCTGCTCGTCGAACATCTCATTCCAAAATCATGGGCATTAATATGGAGTTGGTCCCCCCTTTGCTGCTATAACAGCCTCCACTCTTCTGGGAAGGCTTTCAACTAGATGTTGGGACATTGCTGAGGGGACTTGCTTCCATTTAGCCACAAGAGCGTTAGTGAGGTCTGGCTCTGATGTTGGGTGATTAGGCCTGGCTCGCAGTCAGAGTTCCAATTCATCCCAAAGGTGTTCAATGGGGTTGCGGTCAGGGCACTGTGCAGGTCAGTGAAGTTCTTCCACACTGAGCTCGACAAACCATTTCTGTATGGACCTCGCTTTGTGCACAGGGGCATTGTCATGCTGAAACAGGAACACAAAGTTGGAAGCCCAGAATCGTCTAGAATTTCATTGTATGCAGTAGCATTAAGATTTCCCTTGAAAGGAACTAAGGGGCCTAGCCCGAACCATGAGAAACAGCCTCCACCAAACTTTACAGTTGGCACTATGCATTGGGGCAGGCAGCGTTCTCCTGGCATCTGCCAAACCCAGATTAATCCGTCGGACTGCCAGATGTTGAAGCGTGGTTCATCACTCCAGAGAACGTGTTGCCACTGCTCCAGAGTCCAATAGCGGCGAGCTTTACACCACTCCAGCCGACGCTTGGCATTGTGCATGGTGATCTTAGGCTGCTCGTCCATGGAAACCCATTTCATGAAGCTTCCGATGAACAATTCTTGCGCCGAGGTTGCTTCCCGAGGCAGTTTGGAACTCGGTAGTGAGTGTTGCAACCGAGGACAGACGATTTTTACGCGCTACAAGCTTCCCGTTCTTGTGTGGCCTACCACTTCATGGATGAGCCGTTGTTACTCCTAGAAGTTTCCACTTTACAATAACAGCACTTACAATTGACCGGGGCAGCTATAGCAGGGCAGAAATTTGATGAACTGACATGTTGGAAAGGTGGCATCCTATGATGGTGCAACGTTGAAAGTCACTGAGCTCTTCAGTAAGGTAATTCTACTGCCAATGTTTGTCTATGGAGATTGCATGGCTGTGTGCTCGATTTTATACACCTGCCAGCAACGGGTGTGTCTGAAATAGCCAAATCCACTAATTTGAAGCGGTGTCCACATACTTTTGTGTATATATAGTGTACCATACTGACTTTGGGAGGCCCAAGTTGTAAATCACAGCTCTAAGAGCTAGCTAGGTATTTACAGCAACGGACGAACACCAACACTAGTTTAAAAACAACAACCCATTTATCCCTATACCAACATCACCTCATTGTCCTACATAGATTCATGCATGCCAATTCCTCCCTGCAATAAGGCCCTCTTCACTAGCATCTTAGTGTAAGATGGCAGTCGCTTCATTATAGGGAAGGTGTGTCTTTCTACATACCATGCCCTCTCTATCATGGGGGCACGTGTGTACCCATTGATCATTATTACTAATGACTATTTACCATACTGAATACAGCTGCGGGATTCCTGCAAAAGCCTGCATGCTATTTCTATTTGACACAGAATACTCAGCAAAGAGACCAGGAAACAACTAAAACTAAAACTGTAGGTTTCTTCCATATAAGATACCTTTTGGTTGCTAAATAATTTTATGACTCAAATAAAACCAATGCTTGAAATCTGAGAGACAGACCACATTTACATTTTAGTAATTTAGCAGAAGCTCTTATCCAGAGCGACTTACAGTTAGTGAGTACACTAGTCTGTCTGGCTATCAACTGTGTTTGTTTAGCTAGTATATCTGCTCCTCTCTGTCTCCACAGAGTATTATCCCTATGTGTCGTACCTGGTGTGCCTGATCTTCCTCTGCCTGACCCCTCTGTGGGTGGTCGTCTCCTCCAGAAACCCAGCCAGTCGCATTCTACTCTACACAGGCTGGGAACCAATCATCACTGCCATGGTCATCAGCAGGTCTGCTACCCTGTTCCGTGCCCCTGAAGTCCAGTCACAGCATTCAAATCCTGTGATCTTTATGGAAATACCATCCTTCAATTTGTATTTTTCTCTAGTATCGGAGGACTCATCCTGGACACAACTGTATCAGACCCGAACATGGTGGGAATGATAGTCTACACGGCAGTTATGAATGGCAAGACGGGAAGCTGGGTTTTTAGGAGCACACATTCAGGATCCTTCAAGAAAATGGTAATAATGTATATGATCATTGTGTCTCTCCTCCTCATCTCAATCTAGGTGTTGGGGGGAACTTGGTTGCCATCCAGTCCAGCCGTATTGCCACTGATCTGCACCGCCACTCCTCACTGAGGCAGGTGCCTGAGGATCGAAGGAGCTGCTACAAACCCTGCAGGACCTTCTGTGGCTCAGGTAATGACACACACACAACCAATCCCCTTAACATGCCTGTGAACACAACATTAATGAAATGTTCTGTTGTCAGTGTATTCTACCTGTCAGGTTAACCATCTCTACCTCTGACAGGAGCCAATCATCGCTCTGCCCAGGTGCTGCTCCTTTTGGTCGTCCCGGGTCACCTGATCTTCCTGTACACCATCCACCTGATGAAGGGCGGCCCCATCGGTCCCACACCTGTCTATATCACCTTCTTCTTAACTGCAGCCCTCCTACAGGTAAAACATGAAGCAAGAGAGATCAGTTAGGTCAATCATGCCTCAGTAGTCATAAGTGGATTATTTATCCTCTGCTCCTTCATTAACACTTACACTGAGTATACAAAACGTTAAGAACACCTGCTCTTTCCATGACATAGACTGACCAGGTGAAAGCTATAATCCCTTATTAATGTCACTTGTTAAATCCACTCCAATCAGTGTAGTTGAAGGGGAGGAGACAGGTTAAAGAAGGATTTTTAAGCCTTGAGACAATTGAGACATGGAATGTGTATGTGTGCCTTTCAGAGGGTGAATGGGCAAGACAAAATATTTAAGGGCCTTTGAACAGGGTATGGTAGTAGGTGCCAGGCACACCGGTTTGAGTGTGTCAAGAACTGCAATGCTGCTGGGTTTTTCACACTCAACAGTTTCCCGTGTGTATCAAGAATGGTCCACCACCCAAAGGACATCGAGCCAACTTGACACAACTGTGGGAAGCATTGGAGTCAACATGGGCCAGCATCCCTGTGGAATGCTTTCGACACTTTGTAGAATCCACGCCCCAACGAATTGAGGCTGTTCTGAGGGCAAAAAGGGGCAAAAGGAAGATGTTCTTAATGTTTGGTATAATAAAGGGCTGACTCTCTCTGTCCCCCTTCCGTCTATGTCCCACTCTTCTCTCTCTGTGTTCTCTTCTCTCAGGTCTTCATTCTGCTGTGTCTTGCTGACTGGATGGTCCATTGCCTGTGGTGGACGGGCAAGGACCCGGACAGTTACTCCATCCCCTACCTCACCGCTCTGGGGGATCTATTGGGCACGGCCTTCCTGGCTCTGGCCTTCTTCATCCTCTGGCTCGTAGGGGTTTAATGGAGGGCGGCCCTTATTCCCGGTCAAGGAGAGCGGCAGAGCCACTGGCTCCAGCAATGCCCTCATTGGCCAAGTACGTCGAGGGCTCATGGGAGGCACCTCTAGCGGCGCGTTCGCCGGCTAGGTCGTACCTCCCATTCACTAGAGTGGAGGGAAGATTCCAGGGCCCTTCAAAGGGAATCCCCAGGTTAGAGAGCGCCATGGCTGCGTATCTCGTACCGGGTTTGAGTCCCTGGCCCTCTTCCAAGAAGGCTACTCTACCATCGCAGAAGGACCGTCTCACAGCGCAGCTGTTGAAGAAGTCCTTCACTTTGGGAGCCCAGGCTGTAGCAGCAGCAAATAACATTGCCCTCTTGGCAGCCGCTCTGTCCCGTCTAACCACGGGTAAGACCGAGCTGGAATTAGAGGAGGTGGGGGAGGCGTCCAGAATTTCTGGCGCCATTCTTCACCTAACACAAGCTTCGGCCGTCTGTGCGGGGAGGTCCATGGCCACTTCGGTGGTCGCGGAGCGACACCTCTGGTTGTCTCTGACAACCATGAAAGAAGCAGACAGGACGTCGTTTTTGAACGCCCCCTTCTCTGACGACGGGCTCTTCGGAGTCGCCGTCAAAGAGGCGACAGAGAGGTTTTCAAGACTGGATGAAGAAAAGAAGCAGCTGGCCAGACACCTGCCATTGGCAGGGAGGTTAGGCCCTGCGCCCCAGTCCCAAAGACCGTCCACTTCCGCCGCCCAGAGTAGGCCAGGGTCTACGGCGAGGTGGCGTATCCGGCGACAGTCGGCGGCTACAGGAGGCAGGAGAGCGGGCTCCGCCCCCCCAGCAGCCACGGTGGCCCCAATGGTGCAGCCGGCGAGGGAGGTCGTAAGGACGCCGACCTGGCAACCTAAGGGGGGCCACAAGAGGAGGCGCACGTGACAGGACGCGGGGGAGTGGATAGAGGACGTGTCGATGGTGTCGAACGTGCCCACTGTTCCCCCCCACCCTTCGGTTGAAGGGATGGGTGAGGATGCTTTTGTTGATGTATGTAATAAAGAGTTGGCTCCACCTGACTTTGTCAAAAAAGAGCCCCTTTTCCATAATACGTCCGAGAGCGTTCATATCTCACCCTCTCCCGCTTTCTCTGCATTGCTGGCAGTGGCAACGAAGCTGTACCCTCTCACGCTGGCTAGACCAGACGTTGCAGAAGGGTTATGCCATCCAATTCCATCGGACCCCACCCCCATTCAGGGGAGTGGTGGAGACGGTGATGAAAACACCCGAAAAAGTGGCCGCTCTGGTTTCAGAGATTACGGAACTTTTGGCGACAGAGACGGTCACAGTAGTTCCCCAGGAGCAAAGGAACAAAGGGCTGTATTCGCCCTACTTCCTGGTGCCTTAAAAGACGGGGGGAATGAGGCCGATATTGGATTAACGCATTCTCAACGTGAGCGTAACCAAACGGCCCTTCCGAATGCTTACGACAAAACGTCTACTGGAATGTGTCCAGAAAGGAGACTTTTGTACAAGCATAGACCTAAAGGATGCATACTTTCATGTGCCGGTACAGCCGCGTCACAGGAAGCTTCTGTGATTCGCCGTTCAAGGAGTAGCGTAGGAATACACGAGGATGCCATTCGGGTACGCCCTGGCACCTCGCAAGTTTCCAAGTGTGTGGAGGCGGCATTGGAACCGTTGCGTCGTCAGGTAATAAGGCTACTAGCCTACCTAGATGACCTACTGGTTCTCGCCCCGTCAGCAGAGCTGGCGTTCACTCACACGACACAGACAGTGATTCATCTCACACGTCTGGGGTTCGCTGTGAATTGGAAAAAGAGTGTGCCCTGGCCCAGTCATCATATTGTCTATCTGAGTGTCTATCTTACAGCTAGACACTGTAATGATGAGGGCTCGAATTTCGGTCCCTCGAAGGGTAGCCTTGTTGCTAGCCCTGAGGAAGTGTCGTCCGAATCACACGGTAACGGCGCTGTCGGTCATGTCACTCTTGGGTCTCATATCGTCAGCCCATTCTGTGGTTCCGCTGGGACTCCTGCACATGCGCAGGATGCAGCGATGGTTCGCCCAACTAAGACTAGACCCAGTGCGTCAACGTCATCGGTTGGTGGTGGTTCCCCTCTCGCTCAGGGCAGATCTGAACTATTGGAGAAACCCGCGCGTTCTCACGCACGGAATCCTGATAGGCAAAGTGTCCTCCTACATTCCAGTGTATACAGATGCCTCTCTGACTGGATGGGGAGGGACATGTCAGACCCAAGCGATAGGAGGTGTGTGGCCTCTTTCGAGTCGCCACATCAACCTCTTGGAGTTGGAAACGGTTTGACTGGTTCTGACCCACTTCGCGTCTACACTTCGGGGTCGCGATGTGCTGGTCTGGTCAGACACCGGACCACAGTAGCTCACATAAATCGCCAGGGAGGAGTCAGGTCTCCTGCTCTCCACCGGGCGGCAGAGGAATTGTGGCTGTGGGCTCACGAGCACCTTTGCTCATTGAGAGCAGCACACATTCCGGGCTACTTGAACGTAGGAGCAGACCTCATGTCGCGAGGGGGTCCTCGAGACGACGAGTGGTGTCTGCATCCGGACATTGTTCTCAAAATGTGGGAACAGTTCGGGAGAGCCGAGGTGGATCTATTCGCATCACGCGTGAACGCGCAATGTCCCCTATGGTTCTCTCTGAGGGAACAGGACGAACCGCTACTGGGAAGAGACGCATTTGCGCACCAACCGTGGCCGAGAGTTCTTCTGTATGCATTCCCTCCGCTGTCCTGCATTCTCCCACTGTTAGCCAGGGTGAGATCAGGAGGGCTGTCAATAATATTGATAGCCCCCGATCGCCCAGGGGTTCCATGGTTTGCGGAGATGAGTCAGATGTTGATTGCGCCACCTTGGCCAATTCCACATCGACGGGACGCATTGTCTCAGGCGGGGGGTTCGATAGGGCAATTGCCCATAATTGGCCAACCACTGAAGGCTTGGCTCCTGAGAGGGACAGGCTAGAGCGCCGTGGGTTATCTGATGCAGTGATCAGGACCATACAGGGTTCACGTGCCAGTTCCACTTCCAGGATGTATGCCAGTAGATGGAACGTTTTTTCATGGTGGTGTGTCACACAGGGTGTAGACCCCATGAGCTGTCAGGTTGAGAGTGTTCTCTCTTTCCTGCAGTTGATGTTTGATAAGCAGCGATCGCCCACCACCATTAAGGTGTTTGCAGCGGTGATTTCAGCTTGTCACGAGGGGTTTGGCAGAGACAATGTCTTCAGCCACCTTCTAGTGAAACGTTTCTTATTGGGAACGCGGCGGCTTAGGCCAATGCCTAGAGCCACGCTTCCTCAGTGGCATTTGGCTTTGGTACTCGAAGTGCTATGTAAGTCGCCGTTCGAGCCATTGAATCAAATACCCCTCAAGATGTCTATGAAGACGGCACTGTTGCTCGCTTTGACTACTGCTAAGCGTGTCAGTAATTTGCATGCTCTTTCGACGAGACCCGACTGCCTTGCCATTAATGGCGATCTGAGCAGAGCGGTGTTACGTCCTAACCCGGCATTTGTGCCGAAGGTTATTAAGAGCTCATATAGGTCACAGACCGTGGAGCTGTGGGCTTTTTCTCCCCCTCCTCATAGGGAGAGGAGTGAGGAAAGGCTCCATCGCCTGTGGCCAGTGCGCGCTTTGGCGTGTTACGTTGAGCGCACAGCAGCGATTAGGTCATCGCCTCAGCTGTTAGTGTGTCACGGTGCGGCTGCACTAGGTAGACCATTTTCAAAACAGCGCTTGTCTCATTGGCTTTGTGAAGGCATTGAGACTGCTTATGAAGCAGCGGGGCGACAATTGCCTCAGGGTATAAGAGCTCACTCCACTCGTGGAGTAGCAGCTTCTACTGCCCTTCTCAGAGGAACAGGGGTAGAGGATATATGTACAGCGGCGTCATGGTCGACACCGTCTCCATTTATCAGTTTCTATCTCTTGGATATGTCTTCTAACTCTTTGGCTCAGTCTGTACTCAGCGTGGCTGAGGGGAGGACTTGAGCTAGGAGAGAGGAATGCAGGACTGAGGAGACAGGTCTCTTTCAGGTCTGCTTCTGATGGAAGGACATATTGGTATGATGAGGGAGAATAGTAGTAACCTTGGTTACGGTACTATTTGACCGTTCATGATATTTTTGACGGAATGTGACGTCATCTATCTGCTTGTTCAGATTAGTATGAATCATGTTCTGGGATCTGCCCACTAATCTATGGATTTCCATTGATTGAGTGAGGCGGCCTACCGTGTACACAATGTAGAGTGACACTTTGTGTCATTCCATTCGTGGTCGGTATTATTGTGTCAGGATATTGAGTACCATCTATCTGCTAGTACAGATTAGTATGGTTTGTATTCTGGTGATCTGCCCACTAGTCACTGGTGTTGCCATTGGACTAGGTGGGGCGGGTTTATAACTGATGACGCAGTATATTGTGACACTTGTATTGTCATACAGTCGTTGCAGTACTGCGGGACTTGGTTGCAGCCATTGCTAGGCCTGACCTTTTCGTCTCGATGGGAAGTGTTGGGCTCGGCAGGGAGTACATTTTGGAGCGCTACGCTCCGCCTTAAATCAATAGGAGCAGAGCTCCCCTATGGGGCGGAGCTCCACGATATAGAACGATTAGTTACCGGAGTGTAACTCCAGTTCTATGAATGGAGCGGAGCCCCATAGGACTTAAGGCCCTGCCGACCCTCTCTAGTCTCGCTGAAGATAAATATCTCGGGAGGCTGATTGAGGGGAGGCATCCCCTCTTATAGGGACACCTGTACTCCTATTGGCTGCAGGTGTGTGCATAATTTTGTCTCAGGCTGATACTGCCTTAGGGCAGAGGGTAAACCAATAGGAGCAGAGCTCCCCTATGGGGCTCCGCTCCACTCATAGAACTGGAGTTACACTCCTGTAACTAATCGATTATTTCCCCTCTCCTGCTTATACAGATTAACATTAAAAAAAGCTTTTTCTGCCTCTGAATGACGAGTAGCCTACTTTTCAGGTAGACGTAGTAGTACACAGGTCTACTGTACAGTGAAAACATTGCTCCCCTAGAGGCAGAGTGAGAGAGTGCTTTTGGGACGCAGAGCTTCGCGCTGGGACTGGTTCTCTCGCAGCCATTTTCTGTCCAACCACACGGCCGTTTAGAGAAGCTAACCAACCAGGGCTGTATCGGAGGTTTGTGGCTGGCTCCGGCCAATGATTGCTATCCGATTTCGCTTTACCTCGAATCGAAATCTCCGCGTTTGACTGTTTCTCTTTATTTGATGGTAGTGTGAATGGGAATTAGCAGCGGGAAAGTAGAAATGAAGACTGCGAGTTGTGAAATTACTGGAGCCGCTAGTAAATGGTATCCTGCTAGCCTATATGGGTTCTCACGCACAGGCCCTCCACAAACAAAGACTAGCTCTAAACATTGCTCAAATCATCTGTCAAATGTAGCTATACTAACTGGCTATGTTAGGCATGGTGGTCAGACTGGTGACGTCGACGGGATATCTTGAATTTTGTTTAAACATGAAGAATTTTCCAAATCGTGAGTTACTAATCGATTCAACAATGGCCATTAAATGGTGCCTTTTTTGATTTGGTATGAATGCGAGTTGACTAGTATGACCTAACATTAGCTAGTTAGGTCTCCTTCCCATCTAGCTAGCGCAGCTTGTTATCATAGCTAGCTAACGTTAGCTAGGTATCTAAAGTTGTCTTGTTTTATCTTAGGTGAAATGCGAACTGTTCTGTCCCCGCGTATTTATCTCGACCTCAAAGCCGTCTCTGGGTTTTGGCAAGTTCGATTCGTAGATATTAGCCAGTTAACGTTATGCTCGCCACTACTAGTTAGCCAGTTAGCTATTTTATTTGCCCTCTGGCTAGTTGTCAGTCAACGCGGGAACAAAGGGAATGTTGCAGGTAGACAGAGCCATGGGCTCTGGAAAAGCTAGTGTTAGCTAAACTCTAGCTGGGTAACAAAGCTAGTGTTAACTAAACTGGGTAGCAAGCGGTTTATCGATTTTACCATCCACGTCTGAACTAGTAACAAATCGTAACTTTTATGCAACTGTATGGTAGATTTTCCATTCCATGCTAATGTGAATGTACTCTGATTTACAGCCGCGACTGGACAGCGGTGCGCATAGCTACAACACAGCACAATGAGACAGATATTTCACCGGATGTATAAATGCGAAGCATCCGCTTGGCGTTTCTACTCCAGGAGTGAGGGTAAGCCCAGTGGCCTGCAGTGGTAGAAGATTGAACGAGATCGATTTTGGCCTACATTCTGTAAATTTTCTCATTGATGAAACATTTGATCTCAATACAATTAATTTTCCCAAAACTAAAATATGTTACGTACAGAGTGAACTAAGTTTTGTAGACATTACCCTTCGCCAAAGATTTAAAAAGTTACGTTGTTTAGGAGTGCAAAGGCAAATTGAGTTATTCCACACGCGCGCTCATTGTAGGCGTTCCCTAACGGAAATATACAAATGTTCGCTAGAAGGCGCCAATAGGATCTCGTTAGCTTGTGCTTGACTCTGCCCACCTAGCTTGTTCTGTCCACTATGACTAATTTGTTCCCATTTCAAACGACAGGCTATGGTCTATCTTGGTTTAGTTATACTAATCTTTGGTACAACAACCTGTGCTTTCTTCTTCTTTGGTATCATTGCGTTCACATATTTGTTTGTGCATGCAGCCACCTACCGTGCTGTAGTGTGTGTGCTCAATCACGTTACATTTGTGATATAAAAAGGAAGGGGGATTAAAAACCCACTACCCCATTCCACTACTTTGACCCTATCTGCTCCTGCACCATGCCAACAGCATGCCACCACATCTATTTTCTGTGATTTACGTTCCATTTCTGCGGTACAATTGATAAACCATTGCTAAGAAGTCAACCTTACTGAAGCATAAATCACTCGTTGGCCTATCCCTTTGTGCTGGCACAAATATACGCGCACCCTTGACCCATCCTCAACTTTCTTCACTGCCTCAGTATACTACACCTTCTGCACTACTCTGACTCTGGCCACTTCAACCAGCCTTTCTGGCACTGGACACTTCCGATCCCCAGCAACATGGGCACCCCTACAGTTGACACACACAACTTTATCCACCAAAACTACACAATCCTCTATCCCATACCCTCCTGCACAATTCCCACATCTTGGAATCTCCTTCCTACACACTGCTGCGACATGACCATAAATGTTGCACCTCAAACAGGGCAGTGGATTTTGCACAAAAGCTCTAAAAGGATAACTGATATATCCTAACATTACTTTGTCAGGTAGAGACTCTGACACCTCAAAAGGACTGACTGTGACTCCTCTGTTTCACCACCCTCCCCACCGTGTCTGCGACGTACCAAACAGCGGGCGTCGCAAACACCAGGTATCTTGAACTTCAATTGCTCCACCTTAACACCAACCCAGAAATCCCTCCTTTCAATGGTACCCTGTTCCTAAGAGCAAAGTAAGAAACAGATCTTGACCCAAGTTGCGTGACGCGGAGCTCCTGCTCCCTCTGATTAGAAGAAACACAAACAAATATCACAAGTCCACTACAGGTTACCTTCACTGATTCAACTGCCCTCCTTTCTCACCCACCCTGAAGCAATAAATGGATCCGCCCAAGAGAAAGGTCCACTTTCTCCAAAAATGTCACTCCTGCTGGACCAGATTCTTCTTTATTATGTCCAATGATTCCAAGCCCTTCACAACACCTTCCACCTCACTTAACTTACCCTCATTCACTTCCATTTACCCTCCAGAACTCTGTCTGGCACACAGCTCATTCTGTTTGCGCTTTACACCAATCTTCTTCGACACCCCATCTCCATTTTTATCGCCATCTTCTTCAGATTCAAATCCATCCTCTGCTTTCCTCATTCTCTTCTTTCTCTTTTTCCGGCTCCATTCCTCCTCAGACATTGTGTCTGTGTCCATGCCCCAATATTCCTGATATTGTTCCATGATTCCCCTGTTGCACCATTCAGCTCAAGACCACTTGTTTCATGCCAGCTAACAACCTCAAGATGTCCTCTCCGTCTGAAAAAAAATTATGCTTCCTAGGCGACTAACATGTGCTTTCAGTTTTTGATTGGCTATTTGGATAGTTCATCCAGCCAGTGATTGGTTAATGTAGCTGAAACAGGTTAGAATACACAGTTAACCCATATTGTTGTATTTCCCATGAATGGAGTAGGGTGTATCTGCAGCCCGCGTTTACTACATTCTGCGCCCACTATGTGTCACTTACTACATGCCACGCCCACTACCATTGAGGCTGCTAGCTAGCTAGGACACTGGCACACACTGTCCTTCACACCTGCCGGCCGAGCACTGCTTTCCCGCCGTTATTTTAACGTTACGGCAAGGGTAATCACTACCTAGTTGTGCCACGCAAGAGTTGAGTTGGCGACATTAGCTAGTTACTTCCCCTGCCGTAACGTTAACGTAACTGCGGGAAAGCGGTGCTCGGCAGGCGGGGGCGAAGGACGCTGTGTACCGGTGTCCTAGTTAACTAGCTAGCAACTTCCCTCGCCGTAATTTTAATAGAACTGTGGGAAAGCAGTGTTTGGCATGCGGGGGCGAAGGACACTGTACCGGTGTTCCCTAGCCTAGCTAGCAGCCGCTGCCTTTGGTGGTATTTTTTGGTGGTTGGCATTGGTGCATTACCGCAACCTACTGTGCTGGAGTGTGGCCCATAGACAGAGCTAGCAGCCTCAATGGCAGTGGGCATGGCATGTAGTTAGTAACATGTAGTGGGCGCAGCATGTAGTAACTGCAGTCTGCAGATAGACATTATTGCTTGAATGTCCTAAAAATAACTGGGTTATAACTTCTGTCTGTTTACAGATGGACGGCGACAGTTCAACGACAGATGCCTCTCAGTTGGGAATGTCAGGGGAGTACATGGCAGGAAGCCACTACGTTCTCCAGTCACAGGACGGTAGGTGGTGGAATTCACCTCACAGACTAAGCACCCCTAATCATTAGCGCCCTATTCTCTGACATCCACAATGCCTTGGTCAGAATAACATGGGTGCCCAATGCTGCTGGACACCATCAGAGCACCCCTATATAAACATAAAGATACTGAAATGGGCTCTGCCACCTTTCATAAGCCCAAAGGTGCTTCACAAATAACCAGGCTTACATACTGTAGTAATCATAAATGATCAGGCTTGACATGGACCAAATCACATGTAGATTTGATCTGGATAGAAGTAGAGAAGATTTGTATAGGCACAATGTGGTGTTGAATAGGGATGTAACATGCCCCTCTCCCTGACAGATGACGGTGATGAGAGCCTGCATGACCATGAGGAAGGCAACGGCAGCAAGGAAAACTTCCGTGAGCAGGACATCTACCTCCCCATCGCTAACGTGGCTCGCATCATGAAGAACGCCGTCCCACAGACAGGAAAAGTATGGATTCAAATCAAATTTTATTTATCACAATTGGCGAATACAGCTGGTGTAGACTTTAATAATAATAATATGCCATTTAGCAGACGCTTTTATCCAAAGCGACTTACAGTCATGCATGCATAAATTTTTTTGTGTATGGGTGGTCCCGGGGATCGAACCCACTACCTTGGCGTTACAAGTGCCGTGCTCTACCAGCTGAGCTACAGAGGACTTTACAGTGAAATGCTTGCTTATGAACCTTTCCCAACGATGCAGAGGTTAAAAAATAAAATAGTAACTAACACGAGGAATAACATACACATGAATGGAGCTATATCCAGGAAGTACCAGTACCAGATCAATGTGCGGAGGTACTTGAGGTAGATATGCAAATGAAGGCAAGGTAAAGTGACTAGGCATCCGGATGGATAATAATAAGAGTGAAATGGAAAATGATGTGTGTAAAAGTGTGTGTGTATGTATGTTTGTTTATGATGTGTCTTAGGGCTGGGCGGTATACTGTATTTTACTATATACCGGTATTGATGCACGGACCGGTTTGGGTTTTTACTTTACCTTCTATAACGGTATTTGAATGTTTGGTTTGTTAAATGTGATATGCCGTGCGAAACGTCCATTTTTATAGTTTACTTCGCTACTTGAGTCATCTCTCTCTGCTCTCTCTCCATGCTGCTTTCCACACAGACCTAGCCCCACCCTCTGACACTCAAGGAGTGCATTTGGTGTTGCTCGGCCACAAGACACTTGCGTTCAGTCTGCATGGTCAATGCAGCACATGCAACAATGTTGATGACAACAATGCTGTTTTCACTTAGTTTCTTAATATAAATCCACTAGCGTTCTATAATTACTCTATTAGTTTGTGTTTCCTACATCTGCAAACAGCTAGTTAGTTTTTTCTTAGCAAGTTGGGCCTAAATCTTGTTAGCCGCTAATACTAATCACTAGTTAGCTAGCTAGCTAATAAATGTACTGAGTCAGAGCAAACGTAATTAGCTATACAGCCTGATAATACCAGTGATGGTGTAGACCTACATCAGCATGTTGTTTGTGCAACAGTATCTTCTAAATCAAAGAGGAATACGTGAAGCATTAATATTTTTAGCTACATGAAGTAGCTAAGAGAGAACACTCAATGTAGGCAAAGATTATAGGGTCCCGTAGGAAACAAATATCAACACTTTGGTTCCTACCCTGTCAAAATAACTCCTCCCTAGCATTTTCATTAATTGTCATGTCAAACAACACTGTATTCAAAGTGCGCACTAATATATTCTAACTATAGAATTAGAATAATCATTCTATTTCCATGATTCCAACAGTTCACCCAAGTGTTTTGCTCTAAATCGCAAGTCAAGTCGCAATTGCAACATTTGGTTAAAAATAAGGCCTAGATTGTTTGCCGATATGGTGCTGCCCTACGTAGTGTGGAAATGAACTCACATGAGTGCAGAAATTGATGAAAATGCAGAAAAATATTTTTGTTGTTGAATTGAACTGTATAAAACAAGCAGAATGGAGAAAGACCCATTGAAATCACTTAGAATGTATGTGTTGCCACTGTGGTTTATTCCACACTGGGTCAAACAGCTGAAAAGACAAAGACATGTTTCCAACAGCACAAGTATTTATACCTTCCTATTTGCCAGAGTCTCCTCCTTGCACATCTAGACAGCCATAGCCGGAGTCTCCTCCTTGCACATCTAGACAGTCAATACATCTCTGTTGCTAGGCAGGAACTTAGGTGATGTGTGTGTAATAGAACTGTTCTTGTCACTTCATCTGACCTGACATTGGCCCACATTCCACACTCCTCCCTAATCCATGGTAATCCAACCTTATCAGTGACTGAAACCAGACTGTTACCCTTTGGACCTCTCTATAGGATCCATGAGATTTAACAGTAACATTGTACATGTAATGTAGTTCTAGAGGATGCCTGGCTGTTCTTTAAAAGTAATTTCCTCTCATCTTAAATAAACATGCCCCATTCAAAAAATACAGAACTAAGAACAGATATAGCCCCTGGTTCTCCTCAGACTTGACTGCCCTTGACCAGCACAAAAACATCCTGTGGCGTACTGCATTAGCATCGAATAGCCCCCGCGATATGCAACTTTTCAGGGAAGTTAGGAACCAATATACACAAGCAGTTAGGAAAGCAAAGGCTAACTTTTTCAAACAGAAATTTGCATCCTGTAGCACTAACTCCAAAAGGTTTTGGGACACTGTAAAGTCCATGGAGAATAAGAGCACTTCCTCGGCTAGGAAACACTATCACCACCGATAAATCTACAATAATCGAGAATTTCAACAAGCATTTTGGTACGGCTGGCCATGCTTTCCACCTGGCTACCACTACCCCGGCCACCAGCTCTGCACCCTCCGCTTCAACTTGCCCATGCCCCCCCCCGCTTCTCCTTCACACAAATTCAGATGGCTGATGTTCTGAAAGAGCTGCAAAATCTGGACCCCTACAAATCATCTGGGCTAGACAATCTGGACCCTTTCTTTCTAAAACTAGCCGCCGAAATTGTCGCAACCCCTATTATTAGTCTGTTCAACCTCTCTTTCGTAACGTCTGAGATCCCTAGAGATTGGAAAGCTGCCGCGGTCATCCCCCTCTTCAAAGGGGGTGACACTCTAGATCCAAACTGTTACAGACCTTCATCGACCTGGCCAAGGCTTTCGACTCTGTCAATCACTGCATTCTTATTGGCAGACTAAACAGCCTTGGTTTCTCAAATGACTGCCTCGCCTGGTTCACCAACTACTTCTCAGATAAAGTTCAATGTGTCAAATCGGAGGGCTTGTTGTCTGGACCTCTGGCAAGTTCAATTCTTGGGCGACTCTTTTCTCCGTGTATATCAATGATGTTGCTCTTGCTGCTGGTGAAGCTCATATCCACCTCTATGCGGACGACACCATGTTGTATACATCTGGCCCTTCATTGGACACTGTGTTAACAGACCTCCAAACGAGCTTCAATGCCATACAACGCTCCATCAGTAGCCTCCAACTGCTCTTAAACACTAGTAAAACAAAATGCATGCTCTTCAATCGAACACTGCTGGCACCCACCCACCTGACTAGAATCACTACTCTCGACGGGTATGACCTAGAGTATGTGGACAACTACAAATACCTAGGTGTCTGGTTAGACTGTAAACTCTCCTTCCAGACTCACATTAAGAATCTCCAATCCAAAGTTAAATCTAGAATCGGTTTCCTATTTCGCAACAAAGCCTCCTTCACTCATGCTGCCAAACATGCCCTCGTAAAACGGACTATCCTACCGATCCTTGACTTCGGCGATGTCATTTACAAAATAGCCTCCAACACTCTACTTAGCAAATTGGATGTAGTCTATCACAGTGCCATCCGTTTTGTCTCCAAAGCCCCATATACTACCCACCACTGTGACCTGTAGGCTCTTGTTGGCTGGTCCTCACTACATATTCGTCGCCAAACCCACTGGCTCCAGGCCATCTATAAATCACTGCTAGGCAAATCCCTGCCTTATCTTAGCTCATTGGTCACCATAGCAACACCCACCTGTAGTATGCGCTCCAGCAGGTATATCTCACTGGTCATCCCCAAAGCCAACACCTCCTTTGGCCGCCATTCCTTCCAGTTCTCTGCTGCCAATGACTGGAACAAATTGCAAAAATCTCTGAAGCTGGAGACTCTTATCTCCCTCACTAACTTTAAGCATCAGTTGTTAGAGCACCTTACCGATCATTGCACCTGTACACAGCCCATCTGAAATTAGCCCACTCAACTACCTCATCCCCATATTGTTATTTATTTTGCTCATTTGCACCCCAGTATCTCTATTTGCACATCATCTCTTGCACATCTATCACTCCAGTGTTAATACTAATTGTAATTATTTTGCACTATATAGCCTATTTATTGCCTTACCTCCATAACTTGCAACATTTACACACTGTATATATATTTTCTGTTGTATTTTTTGACTTTATGTTTTGTTTTACCCCATATGTAACTCTGTGTTGTTTTTATCGCACTGCTTTGCTTTATCTTGGCCAGGTTGCAGTTGTAAATGAGAACTTGTTCTCAACTGGCTTACCTGGTTAAATAAAGGTGAAAAAAAAAAATTTGTAACATGAATAAGTATATATTTCAAGCTAGAATCCAACACCACCCTAGGGTCACGTAGGGGTGGGCGATATAAACTAAAATTCATATCACGATATACTGTACAATTAAAAAAAAAAATAATTTAATGAGCCCTTCAAAGTTAATAAATTACAAAATATTGCTTTTAACCTTATAGAAACAGAAAGGAGGCATTGCTCTTTAAAAAAAAAAAAAAAAAAAAAAACTTCTGTGGTAAACCTGTGCAAACATGAAACATAAACAAAGGTATATGAGTTAAATAAATATGCAGTAATTTATTTTAAAAATATTTAAAGTACTTTTTTTGCTGCCAAATATAAGAAGTGCTGTCTTTTTTCAGCATAACACCGGTCATTATGAATTCAAGTTGTAAACCTTTTCAAACTAACTTCAAGCATTAACCAGACTGTCTGTATGTTTCTCAGTTCAGCATGTAACAATTCACTGCCTCCCTCTTCACAAGTTCCGTGCCAGGAACACCAGCCTATTGACAGTTTCTGGCTTCAAAGTTGCCCTGTGGCATGTGACCACATTGCCCCCAGGGCTAAATGCTCTCTCAGAGGGGGAACTTGTGGCAGGGATGTGTCAGTATTTATTTGTCAGACAACTCAATTGTGGGAAGTTGGATGCGTGAACTCGCCACCACTCCAAAGGATCAGCCTCACTGTCTGTTGTTATCATCAGAGTGTAGCTGTCCAGTTTTCTTAAAGAAGCTCTCAAGGCTCTTCTTGGACTTCTTTGCTGATTGTGGAGCAGTGGCAGCTTCTTTCTCTCTCTCACTCTGGTCCTCTTCAAGAGATAAGTCTCCCACGGCTGTGTTCCCTACCAGGAGGGCTTCTGTCTCTGAGGCAGCT